GCCTGTCTTCGCCTACAGTTTTGCAATGTCATCATCTAAGATGCCCTTCTAGATCACTGACGTCTTCGGGTGTCCCTGGCAAAGCTGGCAGCAACCTATTGTTATACTTAATTGTAGGAGGAACAGTCACTGGGACTGGAGCTTATGTAAGACGCTTAAATAAATGTCTTTTAATTGGGTGAGAGGGTGTGGGGCGGGTGCCTTTCTGTATGTTGTACCAAGTTAGCCGTTTACTTTAACTAAACCGTCTTTGTGTTCCCTGGCCTCAGATATTTGATTTCAAGGGACATTGTCAAATAATTTAAGTTCACAAATTTTATATTCTCAAACACTGTAGTTCTTGGTGGGGAAAAAGTGCCTTAGAATTAACTTTTCTACATTAAATCAATCTAAAACCCAAACGGGCCATTTTCAATTTGTAACCATCAGAAAGGCACAAATTAATTAACCCATCTATTCTGATATCAGTAATCTTGGCATACAAGAAAAGGGAAAAATTGAATATAAGTATGCTAGAGAAAAGAAAACTTGTCTAACTGATTTCTTCAGAGAAGAGCATGGAAATATCACTCTTTATTGGGCAAAATACACAGCTATGTTTCGGACTAGAAAGAACTTGACATTGTTCCTTTGGAAAAATGTATCCTGAAGACCTGATTTCGTCTTTTGCATGTATGTAATGGTCATTTTTTTTCTAAGGGATCAGATTTAATTTGCTGTATGCTGCCCTGCAGACTCGCTTAAAAACTTCATGGTTCTGCTTGCAAAAGCAGAGGTAGTTTTGTTAACCTTGACTTTTACATGTTTAAGCAAAAGGCTTTAAAAATATCCTAATTCTTTTCAACACTGATGAGTTCTTGTTTTCTGATATTTTTGACGTTGTTTCGGTTCCCTGGATACGCTTTTGTCTGCCTGTGCTCTTTTTTGTGCCTGGCATTAAATTCCTCAGTTTTTGTTTGAGACTATTTGCTATGTCATAAAACACCTTATTGTGGAGATTGGTAAAATGCAAAATGTCTAGGGAGTATAAGAGATTTCAGTTCCCCAAAGGAATTAACTTTTGTTCAAACATAGTTTGGATGTCATAACACTCGGTTAGCTAACAGTAAGTGGTTTGGCATCAGCTGCAGCATTACCTGTCGTGCCTTTACATTTTGGAGGCTTTTATTTCTTGCTGCAAATGTTCCAGTTTTAATATTCTTTCACAGTTCAAAATCCAGTAATTGGATAGACAGTTGTGTTTCAGACTGTCTTGGTGGGTTTTTTCTCTTTCATAAGCAATGCAAAATGAAAACTAATGTCATGCACGTGATACGGGTTATTAGAAAGGCTAGGTTTTGCCTTTAAAAAAATGTTTGCTTCCCTCTAATTTGTTAACTGAGGGAAAATATCATACTGTGACCTGCTTCCAGCAGTCTCCTTGTCTTTTGCTCCTCTACATTTCCAGTTTTTCTTGGAAGTTAACATGATATCTTAAAAGATGTTCCCTTCTTGTCTGTACCACTAAATTGTATTCCCAGAGCGTGCAGGCTGTGCTTATACTGTATCCTGAGTTTAACAGACAAATAAACAGAAAGTCAGTGTTCAGACACAGGAATTTCTGCTAGCTGAAGGCTGTTGCCTTGAACAGCCACGCTCCCGTGTCTGAAGAGCACTGCTAACGTCAGTGATGTTACCGCTGCTAACATCACGCCTCTAACATATGGCCTAAAGAAAGCCGGTAAGGTTGTTTGCTCGTTCCGTCCAGCTGCTCTAGGCTTTTGAAGCTGGGAGTTGCTTTTTGCCTTGAATTTGTCTTCCTTTTCTGCAGCCTTGTGCTGTGCCGTGTGCCATGGCCTAGCTTGCAGATAGCTTTTTGAGGTTTGTTTGACTGCATTTCCTTTGTTGTATCTAGTTCCTCTTGAAACAGGTCTGTAGCCCAAAGGCCAAACCTCTGCAGAAGGGTTTATTGCTTGCTTTATGGAAAGCAACCAGACAACTGAGATGCATCACATCATATGTAGAACACGTCCTTTTCTGAGTGCATTGCTCTTGTAGCTATGTATACATACCTTTACGGGCACTTTTTTCAGTGAGGTGTAATTTGGTCTGTCTGCTTTAATTGAAAGCAGATCGCTTTTCTGAGCAAGCAGGATAGACAAAAGCCTGCCGGGGGGGTAGAAGCAGAACGGTGCCTTGATGCTGTAAGATATGCAAGGTAAATATCTCCTTGTCTGTCTCCAGGTATACAAAACATTGAGAGAAAACAAAGAGCGATTCACCAGCCGTGTCACAACAATAACTACACGATCTCAAGAAAAGGAATCGTCTCCTTCTGGTGTGTACTAGCCTGCTAGTCCTAGGTTTGGGTGTGTTTTTTGTAAGCTGCTAAGTTGAGACCTCTAAAACAAATGGAACAGAGCCCTTCTGAAAACACAGATTAGCATAAGCTGTGCCTTCACAGCACTGTCACTTCTCGGTGAATTCCCGTGTCTTCCCAGCATAGAAGATGGTGCTAGCTTTCCATGACCCAGAACAGGGCTCTGTTTTACAGAAGATTGTGAGGATAAAGTAGGTTATCTCTTGGGGCTCCTTTCTGCTGTTTATGGCTTGCGTGATAAAAGGAGAAAAGAGTTAGCCCTGCTTTGGGCTTTTACCCTTACACAGTCTGGCAAAGGCACTGTGATTCCAAAGGGATAATACGGTCTGCCAGCAGAAAATCCTGCCCTGTGCATAGTGGGCTGAGATCTCAAACTGCTATGTCTGAACTATTGAGCTGAAGGACGATATATTTCCTACTAACAGTGGCTTTAGGTCATAGAAGATAGGGTGCGTTATGTCATTTTACTAGGAAACCAACAGAGAGAATATCCTGCAGACAGGACAGAAAACGGATTGCTTTGGTTTGAGGGAGAGGATAAAACATGTTTGTCAGGGTTGAGGCTGGAGAACAGACAGTGAGAGCGTAACTGCTGAAGCAGAGGTCTTGGTAAGTCTACATTTCTGGAGAGTCAGTCCCTTATAGTGGAGAGTCCGTTAATCCTATGGTCTCCTCGAGTCTGCCCTGAACTGCAGCTTCCGCACTGCAGTATCCTTGACAGCCTGTGCTTTGCTGAATAAGTCAGTGTCTTCTCTTTCCGATACAGGTGCTGCTTCTCAGGGCACAGCAGGTGAGTCTTGATGGTAACATTTAACTGACTGTTTTATTCCTACATACGGTTTAACTGCATGTTGCTTAGAAACAGGACCTGCATGTGGGAGAAAATGCATTCTGGTAGGGACTCAAAAATTGGTCTTCTTTCAGAATAAAATGACAGAAAAATAGGCCTTGGCATTTTAGGGAACTTTACTTTCTTATAAAGCGTTCACTGAACGCTAGTGCAGAGTTTTCATCTTGCTCACAAGTTGATTTGTGTTCTTAAAGATGACATGCAGCTAGATCAAACACTTTGCAGTTCGTATTCTCCAAATAATTTTGAAAATTGTTTTCTGACTCGAATGACACCCAGGCCATATCTCTTCTCCCAGTGTTTTGAGGAATCTTTTGGCTGAGTCCCTCTTGCTAGCTTAGCAAACTGTCACTTATTGTAAAACCTGAATGTTGGATCTCTGCTGCGTTGTTTGGCCAGAGTAGAGGCCAAGCATGTTTTTGCTATCCTGGGTCTACTGTACAGAGTATTTCCTGATCTTATATGAAGCTTCTGAAAGCTGGAAATTAACTTTGTGAGTCTTTGACTTTGCAACCACTTCACCCAGCTGCGCAAACGTAAGCAGCATTCTTTCCTATTCCAAACTCGGCGATTGCCATTGAGCTCAGCTGTGCAGATCTAGCTTAGAAAAAATAATTTGCTGAAATCTGACAGTGTGATTGATGCAGGGAGCCAGCTTTGAGTGAGGCAACAGCATGGTTCTTTATATTGGGGTGGAAGGGAAGGGGAGCAGAAGGTATTTGAAGGGCAATTTGCCAAAGGCAGTCTGTATGTGAAAGGCATCTGGTGACGTACGCTGTTCTTTGGGGCTGGGCTGTTTTCCTTGCTGTATTTGCAGTAAGCTGTCCAATCTGTCACCTGCAGCTCCGGGAGCTCGCCCTGAGGTCGTGGAGGAACTGCTGCTTTTGCTGCTGCCAGATCCATTCGGGCTCGTGACCCTGGTGCCCGGGTAAGAGATGCCCTGTTCTGGAGCAGGGCTGTGTGGATGGCGGAATGCTGTGCTTGCTTCAGAGCTTCTGTTGTATGTTTTGCTATTTGCCTGGCATCAATACAGCCGATGTGTTTAATGACCGATTAAAGGTGCTGATTGTGTCCGAAGATCCTGCCCTGCCCTATATGCGTCCACCTCTTTCCAAGGAACTATGGTTTTCAGATGATCCAAATGTGACAGAGACTCTGCGATTCAAACAGTGGAATGGCAAGGAGAGGAGGTATGTGTCGCTTACGGGTGGCAGGGATGAAGGAGAGCGTTTAATGAAAAGTTGATGATGATCAAACTGTTGTTGTGAGAGAGCCACTGCAGAGCTCTGAAGGACCCCAGAGTACTGTGTGGACAAATTGCTGGGTTGATTTCTGTGTTTGTCTGCTATGAAGAGAGCCCAGGGGTGCGCGTGTGTCTGTGTGCGGTGGCACTAGGCTGATCGAAGAAGGGGCAGCGTTGCATGCTGTGTGCGGAGCTTGTGTGTTGTTTTGCACTGGAGCAGCTGACTGATACCTTGTGGAGTCCACGAGTCTCCATGATGTAGGCTGCAGCCTCGTGAAGCGTGGCTTCCCAGGGACGCTGAGAAGTTGCAAACAAGTCAGTCGAGCACTAAGGACCAGATGGAAAGGTGTGGCGGTGCTGGCAGCTGGCAAGAGGAGTGCTGCTTCCCACACGAGAGTTTGCTCAGTACTTAATACCTCTTGAATCTTGCTGTGATTCCCTTCGACACACACCACCACTGGCAGAAATCCTGCAAAATAAGTTAATAGTAAAGGTGAGGGTATAGCTTCGTAGTTTAGAGCAGAGCTCCAGGGGCCCTGGATCACATTTGATTCTTGTGATAAAGCCTTACTGTTCTAAACCCTTGAACTTCAACAGTGTGAAGACCCTAATTCCTGAAAATAGATAAATAAGAATTCTAGAGCTTTTTATGAATGCATAGAGTTGTCTTTGTATCATCGGTAATTGCTGAATAGCTGGTATCACAGAGAAAGTGGAACCCATTTGATAATGGAGCTTTTTTCAGTATATATTTCCAGCCGCCGTCATTCTATGTGCCTGTTCGTGATCTGCCTTTTGTAGAAAATGGTGGAGTAGCAGTTCTCTGTGGCAAGAAGGTGGGTACAGCACTAGCTGTTGTTCTAGCATCATACAGTTCTTCCCAAGCAGGGCCTGTGCTCTAAGCTGAAACTAAACAACTGTAGATGGTGATGTGGAGGGTTGGCTGAGGAGGAGAATGTGGACAAGTTCAGCAAAAGTGTATATGATGAAGCAGGGACTATGCTAACCTTACAGACGGCATGAGTGAAGTTTGAAAACGGGAGAAGCTATGAGGAAGAGTAGTGAGCTGAGGGAAAGATAATAAGTCTAGAGTTTGGGGATGGGATGGGACAAGAATACGTAGATTTTAGAGACAGAATGTGACAAAATGAGAACTAGGCTATGTGTCGGTCAGAGGGTGAGGTAAGGACAGTAGTGATCTGAGTAGTGGGTTATAACATGAGCAGTAGCGTTGTGCAAAAGCAGCAGGAAGGTGGAAAAGTTTATGTGAGGCTTCTGATATGTTTCCTTCTTCAATTTTTATATGTTTCTAAAATAAGATTCAAGTGACTCCTTACTGCTGAACGACACTAGGCGCCTTAGTCCATTTCTTAGACTCAGATTCTGGGAAGATCCACCTGATCTATGATGGCTGCCAAAGATAATGTCTCAATTCCTACTTCCAGTCTTCTCCTTTCCTCCCTCCCACACCCTTTAACTTAAAGGTGGGAGAATGTTACTTAAAGTTTGCTTCTCTAATCAATAGTCTGTGCAGTTTAACTGAAACAGTCTACAGTGCATGGAAGCTTGAGCTCTCCTGCTTGTTTGATTTTGCAGGTTGTGCATATGGATGTTAGAGGCAACATAGTGAAACTCAGTGATGGTACCCAGATATCCTATGACAAATGTCTAATTGCCACTGGTAAGTTGTTGTGTTTGGGTTTTTTTCTTTGTCTTATGACAGGCTTTTTATTTCAGTGGCATTTCTTTGATAAGGAGGTGTCTGCAGTATGCGTCAGACACTTGGCAGAGCAGTCACATGAAGGACAGTCATACAGGCAACCATGCCATTGGGTTTTTCACCTGCCTCACATCAGCCAGCTTCTCTGGGATGTTCAAAGTTGTGCCCCGTGAGAACCAGCAGGTTAGGAGGAAAAGGTGACTTCCCCAGTAGCTTAGTAAAGGAACTCCTGCGCAGGCCGCTGCTTCAAATCCTGCTTGTAGCAGCAACAAGCAGAACAACCAGCTCTTGCTTGGGCAGAGCACTGCTTCAGCATCTAACCCTAGCAGTTCTACAGCCCTCTGTGGTTATAGTGGAACTGGCTCTCTCCAGTCAGTGAAGCAAGGTGTATAGCATTAGATCTTTTTCCCCTGGGTGGCTCTTGGATCACCTACTGCTCACACAGAATGTCTTTCACGTTAAAAACCCAGACAGCAACAGGGAATAGAACATATTAGGGCCACAAAGATGATCAGAGGGCTGGAGCCCCTCTGCTGGGAGGACAGGCTGGGAGAGTTGGGGTTGTTCAACCTGGAGAAGAGAAGGCTCTGGGGAGACCTCAGAGCCCCTTCCAGTGCCCAAAGGGGCTCCAGGAGAGGAGGGGAGGGGCTCTTTACAAGGGTATGTAGTGATAGGACGAGGGGAAATGGCTTCAAACTGGAAGAATGTAGATTTAGATGAGATATTAGAAAGAAATTCTTGACTGTGAGGGTGGTGAGCCCCTGGGGCAGGTTGCCCCGAGAAGCTGTGGCTGCCCCATCCCTGGAGGTGTTCAAGGCCAGGTTGGACGGGGCTTGGAGCAACCTGGGCTGGGGGGAGGTGGCCCTGCCCGGGGGCAAGGAGGTAGGACTGGATGGTCTTCAAGGTCCCTTCCAACCTAAACCATTCTATGATATTGTAACAGTTTTGCAAGCACAGTCCAGATTCAAAGATAGCTTTGCATTGTCTGGATAGTCAGTAACATGGCCATGGTATCATTAGTCTCTCTTCCTCTCTCTGCTCTTGCCCTCAGGTGGTTCCCCAAGGAACTTACCTGCCATTGAAAGAGCAGGAAAAGATGTACAACGAAGGCTGACACTGTTCCGAAAGGTAATCTCCAGGTGCTGCTAGTCATGGGGCGAGGTTGAAATAAATCAGAGCCAGTACCCCTATTTTCAGCTTTTTAACTCCTCTGCTTTGAGTCCAGGGCAGCTGGTAACCAGGAGTCCATTTGCCATTTATTCCTTTTCCCCAGGCAGGTAAACAGGGTAGAGTCTCCGAGGCCGCTCGTCTGCTTGCCTCAGGCCTGAGAGCTGTAATAATGCGTGATTATTTTTTTTTTTAGTTTCCCTCCTGTATGACTTTGCTGCACCTTCCAGGCCTTTTAAAAACGCACGCAGTGTAAGCTCTGCAAGTCAGTTTGGACTGTAAGCAGTGCGTGCCTTCAGGACCATGAGTAGACACAGGAAGCTAGCTTAGTACTCCAGCCTGACACACTTCTTGAGTAAGTGTATGCCACACCTCTGCAGCACACAGGCAAGAGGTTGGCCTTTGGCCTGAGGTGGGACAGAGGCTGCTCTCATGCTCTGAAATTTTAGCTGAGTATGAAGTTAAGTGTTCATGTTAGCTCTTGGATTGGCTTAAATAGTTTTCTGATGGGCTAAAACTGATGCCTGTGCTGAGTATGAAGTTCAGTGTTCATGTTAGCTCTTGGATTGGCCTAAATAGTTTTTCTGAATAAACTGATACCCATGCCTTCTTCGTGGCATTTCTTCACCTTCATCCTGTGCCTTGGGACAAAATGAATAAAAGACATGGAAGTCGCTCAATGGTCTTCTGGTTTTTGCTGTAGAGTGTCTTTTTGTTGACACACTACGCTTTCTTGAAAACATGGGATTTAGAACAGGCATGCAGGCTTCTCCTTAGTCTAGTCCAAGGAATGAATCGGGAATAAGAAGCCTTATGGGAACTTTCTGCTCTGTCCTGGGCTTCCCCTAAGGTCTGGTCTGCTCAACTGTGGGAAGGGAAAGATGGACGATGTAAGCTGTGGCATCCTCATAGCACTGTACGTATGTGCTGTGGTACGCTTGTGTCTAGAAATGTCATTGTAATTTTTCTTGAAAGTTAGGGGAAAATGCAGGACTGAGATTGCCTGGACAGAGAAAAGCTTACACAAACATTAGGAAGCCTGAGAGTTTTTTTCTATGCAATAGACAAACAGGAGGAAGGAGAAACATGTTTCCCTTTCTGAGTTGGGGAGAGAGTTGCCCTTATTTCAAAGGGAGAAATTGGAGAAAAATATCTTCTGCCTGCCATTCCTGTTTGAGGATATTTGAAATGGGAACAAATCTTCTTTCAGATTGAGGACTTCAAAAGTCTGGAGAAGATTTCAAGAGAAGTCAAGTCCATCACAATTATTGGTGGTGGTTTTCTCGGCAGCGAGCTGGCCTGTGCTCTGGGAAGAAGAGGTAAGTGTGCTTCTGCAGGCAGCTTGTCTTCAGTTGGCACCTTGATGGAAGTGGTAGGCATTGAATGTAAACATTAGAAACTTCCTTTTCGTTCCCTGGCTGCTGAGTTTTTGCACAGACTTGTGGTTTGTCTGCAATAACCTTAATGCACATTAGCTGTTGAGCAGCCCCTGACCACAAGGGTTTTTGTAAGTTGCGGTCCTGGAAGCTCTGCAGGCGAGTGCATGTTGCGAAGTCATTCCACCATGTAAAAAGTTATATTTGCTCCCTCAATGCTAAAAGCCACCCTAAAACTATTATGCCAAAGAGGTTGTGAACAACTGGAATCTTACTGTCCAGTGTGTGCAGCTTTTTGAGTAGTGTCTTTACTGTAATTTTTCTAATAAGGGAAGTTTTCTCAAAAATACTAAGCGTTTTACTTTAAAGTCTGCTGTCTGTTATCCTAGAGTTTGTGTGAAACAGTGGCTTGTCACTTTGTGACTCGTATGGAAAATCTGGGAGCCAAAACTCCCAGTTTTGGAAACTTCTGTCAAGCTCCTTGCGTAAAGTAAAGCACATGCTTGTGTCCTGAAGTCTGTGCTGCCGCTCTTTATCCATGGGTTGTAAGAAGCCTCCTCTTTGCTCTCCTTCCAGCGCGAACCAGAGGCCTGGAGGTGATTCAGCTGTTTCCAGAGAACGGCAATATGGGCAAAGTCTTGCCTGAATACCTGAGCAACTGGACCACAGAGAAAGTCAGAAGAGGTGAAGCTGCACTTCAGTGCTCCTCCTCTACGAGTGGCAGCGCTGTGGTGTTTAGGCCAGTGGCTGTTGTGTAGCTCTTCCTTGTGAAATACAGCTCTCTGCTTGTTCTGTCAGTGGAGCCTCAGGAGGACTGGGTCCCTGCAGGGTGGCCCAGGAACAGAACAGAACAAGCTGCAGTTCAGGCAGCTTGGGTAGCACGGAGCTGCCATCAGTCTCTGGCTTCTTAGCAGTTCCTCTGGGAAAGCCAAGCAAATCTGCATGCTGAAGCCGGTGAGCTCTTCCCTCTGGCTGTTCCTGCACAGAATGATCCCTACTACCATACTTGCGAGTTACTGCAGTGGCCTCTGTAATCTGGAACCAAAGTTGTCTTACAATAACTGCCTGTTCTCCTCTTCCGAGTTGCTCTAGCTTTGAATAATTTGACTTCTGGCAGCCTAATGCAGTCATCCTAGAGTCACTTTGGGAGAGGGGCTGTGTAGCCCCCATACCTTACGCGTACACCTTTGTACGGCCAGCTGCTGCACTGTTTAGCTGATAGAGTTGGTAAGATCCGAGATGCCTTTTCCCATTTGCTATATTAAGTGCAGAATATATTCCTGTGCATTGGTGAGGGGAGTGGGGATAGAGGGAGGAGGGCTATATTTTGGACTGCCTGGTAACCCACAGGTCTGAGTTACTTTCTTTTGTTTATGGGATGTCCCTTGTCGGAGCTCTGGGTCTGGCTGTGACAGAGCAATAGGTAATCGAATGTCCTTAGTGCCTGAAAACCTGTCTTGGGGAGTTCTTTTGGATGTGACCTTGTCATCATATGAGACGTACTTTTGGTTGCCGTTTAAGTAGCTCTTTCAGACTTTTTAGCTGGGTTTCTTTCTGCTCGTGCTTCACTCAAACTACTGGCACATGCAGCAAAGACGAGGTGGCCTCTCCCTTGGTTCCTCACCTCACCCCTGCTCTGCCTGCATCTGCACCGAAGATGCCTGCTTCAGCTGAAACCCGTCGACCCCCGAGCAAGCCCTTATGTTTCCTATGTTTATTTCCAGAGGGTGTTAATGTTATGCCTAACGCTGTGGTCAAGTCTGTCTCTGTCTCTGGCAATCGGCTGATGATTAAACTGAAGGATGGCCGAAAGGTAAATTTAAAAGCAGGGAGAGGGTGAAGTCTGCAGGGGCGTTGAGAGAATTAAGATAATAATTTTGAATTCCCAAACAGGTGGAGACGGATCACATTGTGGCTGCAGTGGGGCTGGAGCCTAATGTGGAATTAGCAAAGTCAGCTGGGCTGGAGGTGGACTCGGACTTTGGAGGGTTCAGGGTGAATGCGGAGCTGCAGGCACGCTCCAATATCTGGGTGGTGAGTATGTGCAGATGAGTTTTTTGTCTGCTGGTTGTGCTGATGCAGTCAGAATACACGGAGTTACGGGGGCTGGTAGACCTCGATTAGGTGAATGGGGCAAAAAATAGCAAGGAATGAGACCAATTGTAGTGCGGATCCTGCTGGCAGCCACGGAGTCTGTTCATGCACCACGGCACGCTTTGTTGCTGTGGTAACGACTGTGCGAGTTTTTGAATATTTATGCTGTGTAAGAGGAATTGGGGTAACCTAAAGATAGCGCGGATTACTCTATTGCGTAACAGTCCCTTTGGTGGGAGTTGAGACTTTGATTCCTCTGGAAAAACGTGCCTCGTGCTGTCTTATTTTTCTGAAGATCAGTGAAAAATGCTGAGAAACTGGGACTTGTGTAGCCTGGGGAGCGGGATAAGGTGGTGGTGGTGGTGTTTGGGGTTTGTCAGAAAAACTCAGCTCGTAGTTCCACTTTGTTCGCGTCCCGATGCCCTTTTTTATTTGTACATTCATTTAAGCTTTTGATGTCAATGTTCAGTTCTCACTGAATGATTCTTTGTAAGGCAGGGGATGCTGCTTGCTTCTACGATATCAAACTAGGTAGGAGACGCGTAGAGCACCACGATCATGCTGTTGTGAGTGGAAGACTAGCCGGCGAAAACATGACAGGAGCTGCGAAGCCCTACTGGCATCAGTCCATGTTCTGGTAACGTCGATTTCTGCTTTTGGTATTTCTTATTTGGCCACATTGCAGGAGCTATGGCAGGATACACCGTGTAGAGGTTTCTGTTTCCTCAGTGTAGTGAAACTACTTCAGCAAATCCCTGGTACAGCTGCTTGTTCCCAGAAGCTCAGGGAGTGGGAGGGCATTTGAGCATTCCTTGCTCTGCCCTGACCTCTCTGAAATGTTTCTCCTTCCTGCAGATCCCAGTTTTTCCCTGAATGAGTCCCATTCAACAAAGCAAGTAGCCGTAAAGAGCAGCCCCTTTCCTCAGAGGAGGCTAATCTACAGGTTGAACTGAGCAGCAGCTTTTCTGTTACAATTATCTGAAGTTCCCCAGCACAAAACTGTTGGTTTCGGTTGTGTTGCACCTTTGCTGATGAGCTGAACTGATGCTTTAGTAGCAACGCATCGTTGCATCCAGGAGTAGTGAAAGCTTGTTGTTTTCCAGAGAGAGTTATCGAGAAAATGGGCAGTTATGCTGTATCTTTTTTTGAATTCTTTTTTAAAACAAAACACAACCCCCCCCAACCAAACAAAAAATAACACACACACACAAAAAAATATCCCAAAGCCTGTTAGCTCGAGATCAGACATGTAAAGTTAGCAGGAATGTAAATGGGGGGGAAGGAGTTTTACTTTTCTTGGAGAAACTCCCTCAAAACCAGTTATTTACAACTTGCTGTCGTTTACCTGAACGCTTGGTCTATACCGCACGGGCTCTGGACCCAGAAGAGTTTCTCACGTTACTTCTAAACAAGGACAGAGAAGCACCCATTCCAATTGTGTGTTTTTTCTCAGGATACTCCGACCGCGACACAGATGCAGGCAGTTGGGGGGACTGGGAGTTGCAGCCTTGTGTTTTGTTGACAGGTGTTAACTCGGGGGGTTTGCCAGCCCTCACTGAGTGAGACTTCCTTCTCCTGTGCTAAAAAGCTGGCAAATAGCAAGAATTCCTCCTGCTTTTTTTCAGGATGTTGAAGATCCCTCCTGAGCTCTGACTTACCCACTGCTGGGTGCCCAGTCTGGTCAGCTGGCACGTTATTGGTATTCCTTTCAGTAACTCCAGTCTGTGCTGGAGGATTCTGGCCAGAAAGATGGTGATGTACATATAGAGATACCCAAATTGTTTTGTGGGAAGTGTTTATTTCCTCAGCATAGTTGGGAACACTTTTGACATATTGTACTTACTGGGCCCCAAACCCAGTTGCTTTGACTCCTCTAAGTGCTCTAGTTCAAATTCAGCTGGTGCCCAGTTTGAGGAGGTGTTACAGCAATGTGTTCTTCTCTTTAATATTCCTTAAATGCTTTCTCTGAAATATACACTTAAATAATTGTCTGTGCTGCAAAGTCTAATGCTTATAACTCAGCATTGCCACAAGTTTGGTCAAATGGTCTTACTGCAGCCCAGAGGAACGGTTGCTTCTGTCCCACCTCTGTCTCCTAGTCGCATTCGTACTAAGCAAGCAACAGAGAAGACTTTTGCAGGTACCTACTACCTGTGTCCTGATCCTCGTGTTTGAATGCTGAGGTCAGATGTGTGACTTTCTAAAAGGTCGAGAGATACGCAGCTCTTGGAAGCCACCCAGCTTCCCTCGAGGGAGCAGGCCTGAAGTATTTTAAGTTTTTGTTCATTGAACTGGTTTCTTCTGAAACTGGTGGCTTTAGACTTGCTGTGTCTTCACTCCTTGTCCCACCCTAACGTATGCAGAAGAGACTAATGTGTGTCATTTCTCCTGCAGACCGTGATGTCTCACACAACACCATCATTAAGGATTTGGGGCTGGATGGAATTGCCTTGTATTTGTCTCACTAATGCTACAAATGATTTTTATTTCTTTTTCTGCTTCATTCCTAGGAGCGATCTGGGCCCTAATGTAGGGTACGAAGCCATTGGCCTTGTTGACAGTAGTTTGCCAACAGTAGGAGTCTTTGCTAAAGCAACAGCAAAAGACACACCGAAAAGTGCAACGGAGCAATCAGGTAGGGCTACAGCCGTGCTTGGGAGCCGTCTGCGTGCACGGGGCGGTTTGTGTCTCGCTCTGTGTAGCGGCCACAGAGTCAGTCTGATCTGAGCATAGAGCACCAGGGAGACATCAATCTGTTTGCTCCTTTTCTAGACCAAACTTTAAAGGCTGGTTTTGATACTAAAATGTGATTAAAACAACGTTCCTCAAAGGAGACATCATGTAACTCATTTACCAAAACTAAACCTTTTTTTCCCAGTGAAGCTTAATTTCCTCCATAGCAATAAAATGATCAGGTTTTGCACAAAAGAGATCGTGTAGATCCAACCACGTGTCTTGTATATGCTGCCTGGAAGAAGTGGACTGTTCTGTCTTTGGCATGTGGTGATGGAAGTTGGGAATTGTCAGTGTAGTGCTTCACGTTAGGATTGCTTCATTCTTGTGTTATTGAAACTTTTGCTGGACACGGCTCAAAGAAACACACCTCAGTCTCTTAGAGAGCCTGCTCGTTAGTCTGCTTTCACCATCGCAGGCAAATAGCTGCTGCTTTTTTCTGCACTGGATGCTTAATATCTCTTATCTTTGCATCAGGGACAGGTATTCGATCAGAGAGTGAAACAGAAGCAGAAGCCTCAGAAGTTCACATTTCTCCAAGCTCCTCACCCACGCCTCAAGTTCCAAAGCAAGGAGAAGATTATGGCAAAGGTGTCATTTTCTACCTCAGGGATAAAGTTGTGGTAGGAATCGTATTATGGAACATCTTCAACAGGATGCCTATCGCTCGAAAGGTCAGTACAGGACTAGTGCGCTGAACAGGGAGGCATGCTTAGACTTGGGATTCTCTTGTGGAAAAATCAATGTACCAATTCAAAATGAGGATAAATAAATGCAGATGCTCTGTCTGGAGCAGAGCTGTGCAATAACCAATGGTAGCCCTGTCTCGGGTGAATTATGGGAGATGCCCTTGTGCTTTTCTGCATGTTTGTTCAAAATTCTTACAGAAACAACTTAAATCAGGTTTATTCTTCAAGCCTTGCCTTTGCATGGCTGCAATTTCAGGTCTGTAATAAGTACAGGAAAGAATCACGTGCGACTTGAGCATCAGAGTGAAATGTCCTATTTTTGTGCTGCTTTGTCTCATGTACAAGTGTCTAAAACAGTCTTAAACATCTATCATCCTAGATACACAGCCAAAAAAAGTCAGGGTTAGAAGCAGCCTTGAGTAGGTGCTTAGTCTGTCTCCATCCCCCATAGTCTGTCTCCATCCTCCAAGGTAAGATCAGCTATACTGAGGTCATTTTTTTTAACATCTTTGGAGAATTTCAGTATTTTAAACTGTGAGAGTGATTCCACACTATCCCCAGGTGATCTGGCCCAAAATGAACTATTCTTAATGTTGGAAGTTTCCCTTGGTATCTAATCTGAAGCTTTCATGATGCAGTTTAAACCCATCCCCATGAAAGAGAGATCCTTTCCTTCCTTCTCTTCGCAGCCCTTCCTCTACGTCAGAGTGCCAAGTATGCACAGGCTCCTTGGCCTCTTAGTCTCCTGGTCTAAAGACAGGTTTGTAAGTTTAAGCCACTCACAGTGGCTCCTCTGTCACTGCAAAGAGACTGGCTCATCTTCTCAGAGCTGAGAGGAATCACTTTTTGAAGACACATGTTCTCCCCAGGTGAAAACGGAAATCCGAACAACCGAAACAAATCCTACAGGGAGCGCGGGGTTGGTTTTAACTCCAGCCATTCCTGTAGCCAGATAATGCTATATTTAAGACCCCCATATAGATTTGGCTGTAGTAAGTACTCTTGTCATGTTGTGGACTGCCTCATTTGATGACTTGTCATCAGCACGGCTTCAGAGAGGATCTGAGAAATTCATCACATCGGCTGGTGACCATGTACAGTCTTGCAGCACCGGTGGTTTATTGTACGTGCAGGTTTTAATGTGTTCTTCCTTCCTTCAGATCATCAAGGATGGGGAGGAGCATGATGATCTCAACGAAGTAGCAAAACTTTTCAACATCCACGAAGACTAAACTCCAGAACGGGAACACTGCAATAGGAGTGAGTAGGGCAGCGGGGGCCACTGGCTGTGTGCGCCCCTTCATCTCAGACAACTTCCTCCGAGTACTTGTGAATATTTCCAGTCACCTAGAGTTCTAATGTTTGCACCAATAAATTCAGATTGTTCTAAGTTAAACGCCTTCTTCCTGCACCTGTGCGTTGCTGGCATTGACAGGGGAATGTGCTGCCTCCTGTTGTTTTTCTCCTGTATCGACAACACAGAAACCTTCAGAGCTGCCTCTTTGCTTGAAGCATTGCCCACCGGTGAGCTCGTCCTCTGCCTGGCTGTGCTCTGGGCAGCAAGTGCTGCCTGTGCAGGAGCAAAGTACGTCCTGACGGGATGAAATAGTACGGGATGCAGCGGCTCCCGTGTAAACTTGCATTTGAAGCCAGATGATGGTTGTAAGATGGGGTATAGAAGGGATGGGGAGAATAAGAGAGGCTTAGAGTTGTGAAGGCAGGAGGTGAGGGACTAAGAGAGCAATGGGAGGTGCAGTAATGCACGTCTGGAGAGCACAGGCTGAAGTGGAGGGGGAGAACCAGTCGCTAGTGGTGCTGGGGCTGACTCTATCAGGAGCGCGTTACCACCTCTCCAGCCACCATGTGGGAATTTGGGTGCTCTCTGTTAACACTGAGCCCTCGGCTGTGCGTGCCAGGTAAAAGGGATGCAGGAACAGGCTGCAGTGCTGCACAGTGGGCTGAGAGCTGGAGGGAGGGGTGGCGTTTCACTACGCACTTGGAGACAGGTTGATGTCTTTGGCATGTGAGGGGAAGGGTGTGCAGTTGAGGGCCTGTCTGCCAAAACCACCACTAAACCAAGTCCCTCAGTACCACGCTTACCTGTCTTTTAAATCCCTCCAGGGATGGGCACTCCACCACGTCCCCGGGCAGCCTGTGCCAGTGCTTCACAACCCTTGCCATGAAGAAATTTTCCCCAATATCCACCCTAAACCTCCCCTGGCACAACTTGAGGCCATTTCCTCCTGTCCCATCGCCTGTTCCTTGGGAGCAGAGACCGACCGCCCCTCGCTCCCCCCTCCTGTCAGGGAGCTGTCAAGAGCGAGAAGGTCTCCCCTCAGCCTCCTCTTCTCCAGGCTGGACACCCCCAGGGCCCTCAGCCGCCCCTCACCAGACGTGTGCTCCAGACCCCTCACAGCTCCGCTGCCCTTCTCTGGACACGCTCCAGCACCTCAATGTCTGTCCTGTAGCGAGGGGCCCCAACCTGAACGCAGTCCTCGAGGTGGGGCCTCACCAGTGCCGAGGACAGGGGGACGGTCACTGCCCCAGTCCTGCTGGCCACACTGTTCCTGACACAGGCCAGGATGCTGTTGGCCGCCTTGGCCACCTGGGCACACTGCTGGCTCATGTTCAGCCGGCCGTCCACCAACACCCCCAGGTCCCTTTCTGCCAGGCAGCTTTCCGGCCACTCTGCCCCAAGCCTGTAGCGCTGCATGGGGTTGGTGTGACCCAAATGCAGGACTGCCACTTGACCCTGGTGAACGTCATACCCTTGGCCTCAGCCCACCAACCCAGCCTGTCCAGATCCCTCTGCTGAGCCTTCCTTCCTTCCACCAGATCAGCACTCCCACACAAGTTGGTGTCCTCTGCAAACTTAGTGAAGGTGCACCCGATCCCCTCCCCCAGATCGTTGATAAAGACATTAAACAGACGTGGCCCCAACACTGAGCCCTGGGGAACACCGCTGCTGACCAGTTGCCAACCCCTTGAACCAGAGCTGCCTGGAGTGACGGCCTTGTGGCCCCGGCGCTGCAGGAGAGGAAGGACACAGAGGTGGGCCTGGGGCTGGAGCATCTGGTCGTGCAGGAATATGGCCAGAGTCCTGGATGCATATATGGGAATTCAAACTCCCTGTGTGCTCCTGTCTATTCCATGTCCAGCCTGCATGTGAAGCTCAGGCATAAAAACAGGGCAAAGGGAGAACTGAACCAGCTCTGGAGACTCTGTTTGGGATGCTGCAGCATGAGGGTGGCCCTGTCCCCACGGGCTCAGCTGCTTCCTGGGGTGGGGGGCCATGGCTGCGAAATAGAGAATCCCCCAAGCCCCGGTGGAAAGGATGGTCTGGTCCTCCTGCAGCACAGGTTGAGGGGCTGAGCTGTCCGTGCAGGTGTCTCAATCAGGAGCAACAGGAAAGTGGGGTTTGTGCTGCCCGCTTCATACGGAGTTTGATAAAAGCTCTTGACCAAGCTCGGGGCTGGGTCCCACCAGCGTCTGAGGAACTGCAAACCTGGTGACCCCACAACCTCCCTGGGCCCCTCCAGCAGTGCTGGGACCACCACCACAAAGAGAACACTGTCCTGTTATGGTTTGAGGAACACGCAACAATTTATTGTCGTTTAGACAATTATTCTCTCACCTGATGACCCCTCCCCACCCGGGAAGGGGAATCAGGAAAAACAAGGAAACCTGAGGGTTGAAATATAAACAGATTTAACAGGATAAGACCCGATAATTAACATTAATGACACTAAAGAACCGATATTGACCCCGATACCAATGTAAAACCCAGAGGATTCCCCTCAGCCCACTCCGTCGGTAGGAGCCGTGCGCTCCCCGCAGTGACAGCCCATGTGGGACCCTGCGAGCGCTGCGGCTTCGGGAGGAAGGGACGGGCTGAGGGCTGCGGCACCGGGGCGAGGAGTTCTCGGGATGGCAGCCGTCACGGGGGAGAGAGCTCCTCAGCAAACTTCCGAATTGATATGGGATGTGCCGCTCGTGGCATGAACGAACCCTGTTGGGCAGCGTGGGCCAAGTGCCCGGGTCTCGCTCCTCCTCACCCCCGCACCCGGCGAGCTCGAAAACACCGAGACCTCGAAACCCGCACCCGATCTCTGGCTGTAAATGAGTATTTTCACCGATTCAGGCACTGGAG